ATATATATATATATATATCATGATATTTTCCACTATTATCTCAAGCAGATTTTCAAATTATATCCTACCAACACAAACACACAAATTACAGTAGGCATAACCAAATGAAAAATTATGATTAATATACAAACCTTATTAATTATATTTTCAAAGTGAAATTGGGCTTCACTGTGGTTGTGCAAAATATTGGATAACAATTTCATATACTTCTCCTTTAATGTTTTATTCTTACTGGTAAGCCTCTGAATGTTATCGTATACTGAATTTCCAAGAATGTTTTCTTCTGTAGAATATAAAATATAAATTAAAAGCCTTTCTCTGAGATCCTGGATGTTGATAACTACAGTCAGATGATTTATAAAAAATATACTGATGAAGAAATCTTATTCACTACATGCATTTTTAATGTGGTCAAATTATTATTTTGATCTTCTTTCTATGTTACAAAGTATTATCAATACATTTATGTTTTCTCAGTTCAGTTATGAAAAACACAGACTTTGTTAAACCATAATCTTGCATACATAAGCTTCATGTATGATTGATTGATTGATTGTTTTGAATTTTGCGCAAAGCTACACGAGGGCTATCTGCACTAGCTGTCCCTAATTTAGCAGTGTAAGACTAGAGGGAAGGCAGCTAGTCATCACCACCCACCACCAACTCTTGGGCTACTATTTTACCAACGAATAGTGGGATTGACCGTCACAATATAATGCCCCCACGGCTGAAAGGGTGAGCATGTTTGGTGTGACTGGGATTCGAACCGCGACCCTCAGATTGCGAGTTGAGTGCTATAACCACCTGGCCATGCCGAGCCATAGCTTCATGTATGACTTGATTACAAAAGAATACCTAAACTGTTCTCATAAAAATTCTGAACGAAACCGAAAATATAGGAATAAGTTTGAAAGACGTATAATACATGAAACAGTTAATTAACATAATTTTCAATAAACCGAGTCTTCTGTTTGCTACATTTTCAAAGCTGTTGCAAATAAAGTATTTTTCAGTTCAAATATATAGGAGATTTTTAATGCATTCACAAGTTTCCATCAGCCTCTTGAATTCTGCAAACCATATTTGAAACTGTTAAAATTACTTATATTTTGTAGTTAAGATTCTCACAGCTATACACTTTCTTTAATATGCAGATATGATACATTTCTTTGGTGTTAGATTATGATTAATGACAAAAAAATTTTAACCTACACTGAAGAGTAGAAACTATAATCATGCTCTGCAGTTGTATTATATATATTTCACAGACACAGAAAATAAGTTATTTTTTGCAGCTTCAGTACTTTATATAAGTTTTTAATAACCTAAAATATTTGCCAGAACATACATGTATAGTTTATTTCATGTTTCTAAATATTGAAAAATGAGATACCAAACTAAACTAGTCAAAAGACACAGATCTCTATTTAATCTTAAGTAAACAAAAATCTACCAATTTATACACACCTATAACCGGAATACTTACTCCATACACCAAACAAGTTGTTTTTAAACTACATTTAAAAACAACAACTATGGCATCAGTATTGAGTTAATACCACAATACTTCCACTGTGAAGTGAAGTTGTGAGATAAAGAATAGAAACTAAATAACAGATGATGCAGGTTTATAATATACTGTTATCAGATAACTATCTGTTGAAAATTGTTCAAACAACTGCATAATGACATAATAAAAAAATTGCATGCAGTCTCACACAAGAGAGTGGGAACTTTCTGTCAGCTAGATTAGATTTTTTTAACACATAGGAATAATCAGTGAAGTACACATCACTTTATATCATATAATTTGAGATGTCTATTTGTGTTGATATATCTTGTTGAAAAATTGGAAGCTTTGCGTGATTCATCTATGATCTATTAACAAATTTGCCACTGCAGCTATTTTAATCCTTGCAATAAGCCAATAATGTACAGTGACTTGTGTTGTTTACTTGTGCCAAAGAGGCATCAGAAACAGGCAGCTCTATTCCAAGAACTGTTCATCAAACTTATTCATTTCTGCAACCATCATATTCACAACATTCTCAATCGCAAACAGTTTGAAAATGTTGAGTGGTGGCAAACCTGTAACCACTTGAGGCTGTGCAGCAAAAAGAAATATCAGTTGGACTAACACGTATAGCCTGGACAGGTTTCCACCCATCAACTGTTACTGGTATTCCAGTGTCACTGTCAGTAACTGAATTGACAGTGTCTGCTATAGATGAATCAACTGGAATGTTTACCAGGTTTGTACAATCCAGGCTTCTTTCATCATTAGACTCAGAATCACTAGGCTCATAAATACTATCCCTATCTACATTATCCTCCTCAAATGACTCTGCATCAGATTCTTGTAAAATACTTGCAGGTTCACTCAGACTAAAATGTCTGTGCAACCCTGCCATCTTGTGGCTATAATGGTAACAAAAAAAACCACTGTAGAAACTTAGGGGAAACAATTGTTTCTGTCATTCACAAGAGGGAAGCATACACATATAATCATTGTATAGCACTAAGGAACTGTTTATCTGTAAGCTCACATTTAATTATAGCCCCTTTATTGATTGATGTGTTATTGAGTCAGTAGTGCCTGACTAATAGAATCGATTGATGCATTAACACATTGTTAGCAGCAAATGGGTTAAACAAGCCTCATATTAAGTTAAGATATAACCAAACATACTTTATCTCAGTACAATGATTACCATAAAAAAATAAGAAATATTAAGAATGAAAACAAACCTTTCATCACTGTTAACTACATTTATAAAAGGTGTTTTCCTAGCTATGATGTAACTTTTCAAATGTATACTTATATATTTCTGACCAATTGTGCATTTACAGCAAATATGCTCTATATTTTATGATATACAAAAACCTGGAAAAAAAAAGACTTAAAAGCCCTTTTTGGATTTTTTTCTATTGAATTGTAGCAAACTTTGTAAGATTCATGATAATGGGTAAGTAAAAACTTTATTTGAATCCTAAGCAATTGTAAGTTAACATAATAGTTAGAATTAATAATACATAGATAAAATAATCACACAAAATGTATTTTATAAATTAATAAACTAAAACTATAATAAACTGAGGAAAACTATAATTCAATTAATAGCTGTATAAAAACATGTCTATTTTAGTTTTTTGCAATACAACAAAAAACTTCACATATTTAAAATTTTTTAAAATAGTCTTGAATTTCTGTGAAAATCTTTACCTTTAGATTTTTTTACAGGAGAATCCAAGTTTGATATCCTAGAAAAAGGAAGACAGTATACCATTTCTAACAAAAATACCAATGCAAACAACAATTAGATAAAGATAAAATTAATGTGAATCTTTATAAGTGTAATTCAGAAGTTTAAATATGATGAAAAAACATTAATACTGATGTTAATAACATGAAGTATTGACCTTACATATAAATTTGTATAATGGCTTTCTATGATACCTGAAATAGAAGTATATTACATCATTATTTTACAATTCTTACTAAGTGAGACTCTTAGGCACAAGAATGAGCTGTTTCAAAAACAACATTTACAAAACATTTTCAAAATTTTATGCCTGAAATTAAGCTTAGTTTCACTAGCTAGCTCAACCTTTTTTTCTTCTATGCTCTTAAGAAATGAAACAAAAGATGCATTTCATATTACTCATAAAAAACTATATACCTTTGAATATTAGATTATCCATATATATATATATATAAACAAAATAAATGATTATTCTTCAGCCTTGAATTTCTCATCAAAGCACTTTCTGGTAGGCAGAAATTAGGACTATCACGCTTACATTTTAGTTCTTTTTTTTTACACCACAATTAGTACTTATTTCCAATAAAAAAATAAACACATATGAATAAATTTACTCTTATTACTAATTACATATATAATTTTTTTATTGTAACAGTATGTATTTCTTCTTGTAAATTCTTAGTTCTACCAATCATTACTATTCTATTATCTTCTTTAGTAAAATTAAGCATACTTCATCTTGTAAGTTTAATAATACT